AATTGTGCTCATGCAGAACCTGTACACAGACGGAGAGGCTGTTGTTTGAACAGAACAAGGGCATAGGGAAACTATGTGTTTTAAAATCAGGAAAGGAGTGGGTCAGGATTATATCCTTTCACCATACTTCCATGTATTTGCTGAGTGGGTGATCTGAAAAGCTGGACTACACGAAGAAGAACATAGTATCAAGATCGGAGGAAGACTCATTAACAACCTACAATATGCAGATGACACAACCTTGCTTGCTGAAAGTGAAGGGAACTTGAAGCATTTACTGATGAAGATGTAAGACTACTGCCTTTAGTATGGATTATACCTCAACAAAGAGAAAACAAAAATCCTCACAAGTGGACCAGTAAGCAACATCACAACAGATAGAGAAAAGACTGAAATTGTCAAGGATTTCATTTTACTTGGATCCACAGTCAACAGCCACGGAAGCTTGTTGTTATGTGCCATGGAGTCGGACCCGACTCATAGCGACCCCTCCTTGGGTTTCTGAGGCAGTATCTGCAGAAGTAGATTGCCCAACCTTCCTTCTGAGGAGTGGCTGGTGGATTTGAACCACCAGCCTTCTGATTAGCAGTCAAATGCCTTAGGCACTATGCCACCAGAGCTCCCATGGAAGCAGCAGTCAAGAAGTCAAACAACATATTGCACTGGGCAAATATGCTGCAAAAGACCTCTTTAAAATGTTAAAGAGCAAAGATGTCAGTTTGAGGACTCAGGTGCACCTGACTCAAACCATGGTACTTTTGGTCATCTCCTATGCATGAGAAAGCCGGACAGTGAATAAGGAAGACCAGAGAAGAATTGATGCCTTTGAACCATGAGATTGGCAAAGAATATTTAACATACCACGAACTGCCAAAAGTCCATGTTTTACGGGAGCAGGTCACCAGGTCTTTCTCCAGGTTCAAACTTTCTTTCTCAGGTTCAAACTGCCAGCCTTTCATTTAACAGCTGAGCGCTTAACTGCTACGCCACCACAATTATTAACCACGTTTACTGTTTCAGTTTATCTGTGTTCCATTCATTCTTCAGCCTTTTGCAATATCGACTCTGCCACTATACCACTGCAATTACTCTCCATTTACTGTACATGGGTGACCTCATCTTTGCTAAATTGAGCAGACACTATAAAATCCTCACCTTACTAGTTTTCTCGGCAGTTTTTGATACTCTTTGCTATTCTGTCCTTTTTTGAAAATCTTTTTCTTGACGATCTTTTGTCTCATATCACCAGCCAAAGATGTTTTTCCCAAATAAAATATGATTGATCAGTCTCTTGTTCAAAAACCTCTGATGTTGTTCTTGACATAAAAAGACTTTTATCCACCAGTTTCCACTTACATCTCTAGCCTCCTCTCTGATTGTGTGCTCTCTGTTCTCTCTCCATGCTTCATTGTGTCTCCCCTCATACACCTTCACACTGTGTGCCCCTCAAACACACACACACACCCCTCATATACCTTCGCACTGTGTGCCCCTCACACACACACCCTTCATACACCTTCACACTGTGTGCCCCTCACACACACCCTTCATACACCTTCACACTGTGTGTCCCTCACACACACACACACACACACACTCATACACCTTCACACTGTGTGCCCCTCAGACACACACACACACCTCATACACCTACACACTGTGTGTCCCTCACACACACACACACACCTCATACACCTTCACACTGTGTGCCCCTATGACACACACACACACCTCATACACCTACACACTGTGTGCCCCCCCACACACACACCCCTCATATACCTTCACACTGTGTGAC